AATGGGAAGCAAATTCAAGACACCAAGAGGGAAACTCCTTTTTGGAGGTGCAGCCACCGAGTGTTTGGAGACCCCTTCGCCGTGTGTGCTGCCAGGCTGCCGATTATTCTAACGCTCTGCTCTTGTAAAAATTATGCATAATGTGAAGAAACTTTGAAAGTCACTTAATCATGTTATGACAATTTTTTAATGAAAATTTGTTTTAATATTAATAGAGATTCATAGTTTCATGATAATATGGGTAGCAGTGGCATTTGGAGCAGCCGTTCCTAGCCTGCAGCCATGCTGTGCTGTGCCATAGCATAAGCTGTGCTTCAGACTACTCAATAACTTTCTCACATATAAATTTATAAAGACTTTTATAAGCTCCAATTACGTTTTTAAAAGACATAAAACCCCTCTTTAAAGTGTGCTTACGTGACACATTGGTTTAGCTTTCAACTGGACTTTGCTGAGGAAGGGTTTTGTTACAGCAGAGCAAGCTTGGAAAYGGATYCCCATTTCCCTGGAAGTTGTTGGGTGAAGCAGCTCAGGACAGAGTCACAAAACATTCAAGACAGTAGTTYTCTTTTCTAAAAAATTTAGTCTCTATAGATTTTCTCTAACAAWTTTTTTTTTTTYWCMYMWAMACRYSWGGGKKKTTTTGGKRGGGAAACCTGTCAATACACTACGTGCATTCTGCTAAATTAAACAGCACAAAGAGTCAGTTGCCCACTGACTCTTATTTTAATTATCATAAATAATTAAAATTGTTCCAKACATGCTTTTAAGTTGCACCAACCAGCCCTATCCCTGACAGCTGCCAGGCAGGGGATCTTCCCTAAATTTGGTGCTGATGCAACATCCCCGGTGTTTTGGAGGCTGAGCAGTTTAATAATATKGCCATGTCCAATCCTTGCCAGTTGYCCTTAGGCAATGATMCTGAGGTTGCTGYATCAGGACTCCCCTCTCAAAACYCATTACTTGCCYCAAACTTCAAGATTTTTGGAGCTGGAATCTCATCCCTGAAATTCAGGATACACAAAAAAACCCTACTCTCTCATGCCTCTCATGCTTTTCATGGAGGAACACAGAAAATTCAAGTTGCAGATCTGTCAGGTCTCGTATTCCAGGGCCTGGTAGGGTACAATAGAAATATTTTTTTCCAGAAACATTTTTAACTCTTTTCTTGTCAGAAATTGAAGAAAGCTAAACAACAGTGTTTTTGTCTTTTTACTGAGATGAGATGGATCCAAGGGACTGCACTGTTAGAATTTTTTTCCTGTCACCCACCTATCTTTATTCTCTTTACTCAACCTCTGCCAATTGCTCCTAGTCATGTTTTGCTGTATTAATCCTAAACTATTCCCTTTTTATTGCAAACACTCTTCAAATACATCTGGATAAAATTCACCCATTCTCCTTCTCCCACCCCCTCATCCTCCAGTCATGTGGTGGATATTTTAATAATTGAGTTTTACTCTTCACCCCCTCCAGCTCCTTTTATTCCTTATCTTGGTCCTCTCCCAGGTTTCTTTTGGGGCTCTATCTATCTGAACAAAGCCTCCCTGACTCACCACTCTCATTTGGCTGCATCTGACAGTCTTTCAACTTAACATGATGGTGATTTGGCTGCTGGGAGCTGCTCAGGGGAGAGGATCTGGAAGCAGCACAGAGAAGATGCTCATGGTCTCTGTCCTCTCAGGAGGACAGGCTAACAGCTGGCTTCTGCTTCTCACACTGCCAAGGATCTTTGATGTAAATTGACTCCCAGCTCGTGCAGATGAATAACAAAGAAGTTAAAAAAAGGATACTTGCTTGAAATAAAACCTTAATTGAGAAGTCATTGATATGACTAAGCATTGAATCCTGRGATGGCTTAGATTGGAAGGGACCWTAAAGCTCATYTWGTTCYAATCCCCTGCCATGGGCAGGAACACCTTCCACTATYCCAGGTTTCTCCAATCTCTGTYCAGCCTGGTCTTGAACACTTCCAGGKCAACTCTCACACAATTTAATGGGAAGACAAAATTTAAGTCAGGTTAACTCTTCCAGATTTAACAGCAATGGTGCAGATGAACCCCTGCTTGTACTTGCTCCTCACCCACYTTTGGATGCCAGGAGAAACAAGGTGCATTGAATATATCAACTGTCATGAATTATTAACAATTACATCATGGCAGTGCCCAAAAGCACCCAAATCACTCTGCAGGCAACATTTAAAGAAACTCCATTCACCCACGCAGCATCAACCCAAAGATCTTTCAGTCGATTTCATCAAGGAAAAAAACAGAGACTAGAAAGGGAATTGATTTCCCCAAGACCTCATGGCTAACTGATCAGGAAAGACACGAAACACAGTTCTATTTTGCCTTCTATCCAGTATTCTTTTAGTTGAACCAAAATCACTCCAAGCTTTTAATTTATTGCAGACTTTTGTTTTCATTTTGAGACACAGTAATCACATGCAAAGCCTGCAGGTAGCTCAAAGTCTTACAGTTTTCTCCTTCAATGGAACCAGTGATTTTTTTTTTCCTGTTTGGGAAGGGGTTGGGTTCTTTCCCCTCCTTCTTCTAAAACATGAATTATGAGGCAGACATGAATAATTAACAGCCCTCTGACAGAGCACTTCAGGATTTCTGCCCGTGTACTACTAACCTGAGATGGCAAAAAATGGATAATTGTTCAGATTTGTACTTCAAAAGGAAAATGAAATGCTGAGCAGGGTGCTGGGAAAGGAAGATGAGCATGGGAAGAAAAGCAGGAGARGTGTTAAGTCTTTTCCACCTTTTGCTTATATTGGAAATTTGAAAGTGTTTTCCCTGAGTAGTGAAAGTGGTGGCATTTCCTGTCTGAACAGCATTTCTCCTCTGGGTCCCCTTAGCTGCCAACTGAGGAAAGGCCGGGACAATTTCAGCTTGGGGAGACTGGGACAGCAGCTGGGAGATCTACAGCCCCAAAAGCTCACGAGAAAGACCTGTTGGATTATTGTTAGAGCTGTTTATCATTTCCCAAGTRATCAGATACTTCAGTGAGAGATGCCAGATGTGACACAGCATCTCCAGGAGATCCTTGTCCYTCTGCCATGGAGTGACAAGCCATGGGAGACAGCTCAAAGGCATTTTAAATGGCATTAGACATCCCCCACCATGGGCAACCAGATCAAGGACCTAAGATTCCATCACCTGCAAGGGGTCACATTGTCAGTGTTTCCAGGGTGACCACACATGTTCTTTGGGACAATATCTAAGTTTATATGTCTTCAACCCAATTTGAATTCGCTCATATTGAGTTTCTCTCYCACCTGACAAATCTTCCCAGTAACATTTGACTGCTGAATAAGCTCTGAGAATCACATTGCAGATTTACTGCAGTCCCTATCACCAATAAAGTAATTTGTTCATTTATTCTTTAGGTTCTTCTATCCTGATTAAGACAACAAAGAAATGGGTTTTTATTCATCACTTCCCTGGAACTCTTTAAGCCCATGTTGGATTAAGTCCTGAGCAACCTATTCCAGTGGAAGGTGTCCYTGTCCAAGGCAAAGGCTGATTTTTAAAGCCCCCTCCAACCCAAACCATTCTATGATTCTKTGATTTYCATCTACAAACACTGGCAGTTTCACAAGTGCCTTTTGAAATCAAGTGAAAACTGGCATCTTAAATCTAGAAAAACAGTTACCTTGTCTTTGAAACAGTTCTACCATTCACAATAACAATTTTATTCTTGAGTTTCAAGCCTGCCTTGTACCACTGGCTGACCCCACCATGTTGATGGGAAKCCCTAACTGTGTAGACTGAAAAGGTAGTTCAGTTGTGAGCCTGRCTTAATTTTAATAAGGTTTGAGGATTTAAATTGGCTACATTTAACTTAAAACAAGCAAAGAATAGCAAAAGGAAAGACTAAAAGTTTCTGATGAGGTGGGTAAGAAAGGCATGGCTGCAATAATGGCAAAAACAGACCCTATAGTGGAAAAAGTTTTTTAAACTAAATATGTAATGAACTATATTTTCTATACATGTTAGTATCGCATGAAAGCTGTGCCCATGAAAACATAAAATTATGACTCTAGTTTTATTAAAAAACATGATGCATGAATGTATGATAGTTTGTGAAAGTAGAATAGCAGTGAAATCAGATGACAAAGATCCCATGGTTAAGGTATGGAAATTTATCCTGTTCATGATCACTTATTCTTTGTGAGCATTTGGGCAAATCTCTCAAAATGATCATAAAAGGAAATAGTCTCAGAACTTCACTTAAAATCTAAGTAAATTAAAACTATTTTGGTTTGCATTTCCTTTTTGAAGGCTGCATCTTATTATCAGCTGAGGTGTTTTGTTCACCTTTTATAGGTCACTACTCAGAAAATCTTGGTAAATTTTGCTCTTTGCCCACTAAATCTCTGTCTGAGGCTTGGTCATTGATCTCACTTCATCCATCAGTCCTCACCTCGACCTTATTTCTACAAAGGCCAGTTTATACCTGGTAACTTGAAGAGTGACAAAATAGAATAACACCACAGCCTCCTCTTAAAGGCCAAATTTACACCGCCAGAATTGCCTTTGGRCAGGAGCTGTAGGCAGGATACCAAGGTGAGAGAGACAAGCAGCTTGCTGAATAYATCAGAAAATTATTGAACTTGGGCAGATCATATATAAATTAACCAATAAAACAAACCAAAATCTCTCCACTGGGAACTAATACAGGCAATTTCATGCAATCCTCCCAAAATCATGGTGCMTGTATGCAAATGGCCAGTTGTGAATGGTTGTGTTGCTTACCAAACCACACCCGAGAACTTTCTAGATGAGAACAAGCAGACAGAGCAAAAACGGTGTCGGAGACCACATGGCCAAAAACATGGAATAAGACATGTCATTACTCAGACTTTTTACCTAGTTTAGAACCCAGCAGAGATACAAAAGTTTTGGGACTGAGCTCAGACCCAGCAGCAATCTCAGAACAGCACACAGAMGCAAAACCCACCCTGAATTTTCAGAGGTAAAACAATCACTTACAAATGAAGAGCCATGCGGTGGAAAAYAAGGTCACTGTCACAAACACTGGCACCAGAAACTTGACTGAAGTTGGCACTGGGTGTGCAAGATGGTGCCAGGATATCTGTGGAAGGCAGGACATGACTTCCTTTTTGTCCCGTGGTGGAGCCATCAAGATCCTCAAGGATGGCAGCATGAGGAAAGGGGAAAGACACTTGGAAAGGGGAGCTGGTGAAGGTCAGATGGTCAGCTCTCACTGTAAACCCACCTGTGGGCAGCATTTCAGAAAAACAGAATGGTTACTTCATGTAATGGGACTGAAGACAATCCTTTGGAGCAAAAGAGACCAACTTCATTCACCTTGCCTTTGGAWAAATGTCTGATGGATCAACAGAATGGGGAGATCAGGGAAAATAAATAGAGGTGGGTGTAGGAATAGCTACAGCTGTGCTATGTCCAGGCCAAATTTATCCAGTGCCCTGTTGTGACAGCACCTGTGGTTCAGACTTGTCTGATCCAGGGGCTGCTCCTGGTCCTACCAGCACCTCCTCAGTGACTCCAAACACTTCTTCACAGCCCCCACTGCCAAAATTACAGTCCCCAAAACAGTGATTCTTATAGATCCTTTCTGCCTTTTTTAAGGTAATTTTTTTATGTTAATGTTGTGTAGATATACTTGACTCTTCTTCATATGTGTGGCACCTGGCAGAATAAAGCCTTGGCTGAAAAGTGAGTCTGGAGGATTTTTTTCACTACTGAAACATAGATAGCTACAAAAAAAAAAAAAAAATAATATTCATGACATTCATGCAGGCTAAAGTTTTTGAGCACATCAATGTTTACAGAAATGTCAGAAAATCATTGGCCCATGGACCGTAAGAAAGTCAGCTTCGGCAGGAGTGTCCATATATCACATGGGTTACTATTTCACTGTCCCATTCCYAGTTTTAGCCTGACTAAGCCAGATTTTATTATTCCTCCTGTCCTTTGATTTCATCTCCTGAAGCTTTTTCTCTGGATGTTATTGTAGGGCAGTCTTCGTTTATATACAAATACATTTTATCACAATACAAGAGGCAATTGCAGTTAGAATGTTCTTCAAAGGGCCTTTAAGTACCTTCTTCAAAGCTCTAAAGGGTGCTTGGTTTACATGTTATCTCAGGCAAATTCATCTCAGGTTTAGGCTGGTCTGAGGTAGCCGCTTGGTGAAATTCTGTAAGGTTGTGTCACAGCTTTTAAAGAAATCATCACTCTTGAAATTCTATCTCCCAAAATGAAGATGCAGAAACAAGGCAGTGCATAAAAAAAAAAACCTTTCCACTGAGCAAATTGTATCAGTGCAAAATCAGGCCACATTTGTCTTAAAATATATGCAATATGTGCCTTCAATTGAGTKATGAAGCCATATCCAGCAAGTTTGAGGAGAACCTGAAATCTCAGCCCATGCAGAGCAGTTATCAATGGTTACCTGTGGAAACTATGAACTTACAATGAGAGGAGAAGCCAAGGACTTGGAAATTCTGCTGAAGAAATGTAAACCAGACTCACCCTGCCCTTGGTAACAGCCAGAACAAGTCCTGATCGCTGTGCAAGTGTCCACATCAAAGTTCCTGAAAGATGTGTTGGAGATGAAGAGCTGGTGTCTCCCGGGGGTTTTTAGTCCCRCAGACATGCAGGTCCTGCCCTGAAATGAAGGAATGGGRGAAACRTCACCATGTGAATYRYGGASTCCTRSAATGGTTTGGGGTGGAAGGGACMATAAAAGTCACCTCATTCCAACCCCCTGCCATGGGCAGGGACASCTTCCACTGTCCCAGGTTGCTCCAAGCCCCATCCAACCTGGTCATGGRCMTTTCCAGATATGGGGCACCCAGGATGCAGCAGCTGGGAATGCAGGACTGTTATTGCCCATCTTTTGGGGGCTTGAAGGACATATCTAAGGTATTGTTTGGGAAATTCTGAGAAGTAACACCCATTTAATTCCTCACTTGCAGCAGGTGATAACAGCACCTGTTCAAGGGCATCTTGTTGCCCTTTGTTTGGGCTGTTGCATAGTAGTTAAGATTGGACATAGGAAAGGAAAGTGCACATTCCCTGAGGAGAAAGAATCCACCTAAAAGCCACAGTGGGTGATTTCTACAAACCAATTTTCCTTGTCAAGGCATAGGGATTTTTTCCTACTCTGCAAAGATGATCATTCTTATTTCTGTTCTAAGAAAAATCTGACCCTGATTCAAATGCGTTTTGTGTGATTTGGGATGGGGCAAGCACTTAAACCAGGCTCTCTGAAAAGCTCTAAAGGACTTCAGGGTCCATCAGAGCTATAAGAACCAGAAAGGTTCTTTCCCATTGTGTGATGGGAAACACAATGGACAAACTGGATTTTGAGGTAATTGCAGTTCATGATGAAAGGGAAGTGTACAACCCTCTACCAACTGATTTTGGAGACAGGATGGAAAGAAAGTTGTACTCAGAGTTACTGAGCAGCCTGGAGGAGGAAGGGCTGGCGGGACAGTATAATACTGCTTCTGAGGCAAATGAATACTTGCAGAATATCTCTCAAAAGCCAGAGTAGAGAATGAATTAACAAATCCACCCTATATGGAAACATCTCTGCAACTGAAAATGTAGAACGAAATGGACCTTTATAAGTAGGTTATAACTTGAAAGAGAAGTTATCTTCAACCTCTGTAAGAGACAGTAGTTCCATCACCTTTTTAAGTCTGAGGCCAAAACATCTGGAATGATGGTCCTGGTCCTTGGGCCTTCCTTTTCCAAGTCACTGCCAAGCAGAAGACCCTGGCTTCTGGTAACAAATTGCTCAGAAAGTCTTTACTGTCTATTTTCTTACAGTTCTGGTTCTTCCAACCCACCCTCTTTTCTGTATTTTTTAATTAATTCATTTTATTTAAAGAAATAGAACTGTTTGAGACAATAATTTCTCCGCAGTGTGCATCACCTGTCTCAGAACTCCTGTTTTTTTTCCAGGAAGAAATGTTTCTCCTTAAATGGTCCCACAAAGACAATGAGTTGCTTTATGAGAGCATAGAAGAGGCTTGCTGAATGCTTAGGAAGTTAACAAAAACCTTTCACTTGGTTTTTATAGGCCCTGGACTCAGCCTGGCCACTAATGTTTCAATGGCTTRAAGCCCCAACTTTTCAATGTCCTGATATTTCCAGAAATTTTGTTTTATAAATATTTTTTTCCAAAAAATGGAAGGGATAGCAAAGAGGAGTATCCAGTGTTCCCATTAAATTAATGTCATAAAGTTTTAATTGATATTAAAGAGACATCATTATTAAAGGGAGAATTACATACATTAAGATGTAAATTATGACAAGGAGGCTCTTATCGGRAGATAATCAAAGATAATCACCCCCTGAGGTATTGCAAGGAGCAAGGCACAGCTGAGCGCCTCTAAATCTCTTAACAAGTGCAACATTGGAGTCCTCCCATGGATCCTGCAAAGCAAAAACAAAGACTTCCACCCTTTTTTGTAAGAGAAAATCACCAYTGGGACTCTGCAAGGCTGGACAGGTGAAGTCAGGATTTTATCTGAACTCTATACTTAGAAGAGATCTGCTAAATGGTTTCTTTCTGTGAGCTTCTAAAGAAAACTCATTTAAAACTCWATTTTTCTGCCAGTCAGAGAGAAAATTAATTTAATAAACAACAATAGAAAACTGAGCAGGTAGAAAAAAAAACAAAAAGACCTCAGAATCATGAACAAGCTGCTGTGGCCAGTTGTAACTAAAATTCCATTGTTATCCATGTTATTAATCTGTTAACAACCTGGTAGCACCCAAAGGACTTTGTCCAGCTGCCTAAAGAAATAGTGGAAGGAGATGATACTTGCTGCATAAATAAAATTACGTTTTTTTCAGTACTTTTCATTCTCAASTGAAAAAAGTAACGCTCAGTGTTCCAAGTGGACCAATGATGCTGAGAGAGCACAGAGGAAATCAAAATGTTAAGTAGGATTGAAACCAAAGCTGCTGTTCCCCCTCATWATTCTCAGATCTCTAAACTAAACCCACTTGTCCATGGTTAAATGGTATTAAATGCAAAGGGTGCATAGGAATTTGTGTTAGAAAAGCTTGACTAAACAAAAACTATGATTTCTCTCAAAAAGTCAGGTTTGGTGAAATTCCAAGATTTTTCTGAGACCGTATCAATCCTGAAAAAAATTGCGAGTAGGAAAAAGATTTGTACTTATCTTGCTAAAGTACTTCAGCTTTTGTTTTTGTGATTTTGCTTTCACATTTGAATGTTGTTTCAGAATGGATATACAGGATTATGCATCATAGTGYTAAAAACTGTTAAAAGAAACCTTTTAACAGTTTGTAATTAAAATTGAAAAACCAGAGGCCTTGTTTTGTTTAAAAAAAATCTTTAAAACTTCCATTCTGAAGTGAAAACACACTTGGAAAAAAAAAATCATGGAAATTGTTTAGGTTCAAAGACCTATAAGACCACCAAGTTCATCAACCCAACATTACCATCRATCCAAYACTGCCAAGCCCAGCACCAACCCATGTCYCCATGTCAAATCCAAGCTTTCCCCAAGCTGTCATGGGGCAGGGACTGTTCTCCAGGTTGCTTTCTTATTTCTCCAAATTCCTATTGAAATGTTGCTGTGAGGCTTGAGAGACACTGAAATATTTCCTGCAGCTSTTACCTTTTGCCCGAGGTGTCCATTTAAAACACTGCCAGACACAGAGGTGTTTCCCAGGCTTTCCACAATGTCAATGCCAAAATCTTTGCAAGCAGAAATCCAGAAATGCTGGAGTTCAAGGTTCCTGCTACTGAAAATCTACRTAAAAGGAAAATAAAGGAATMAYCATCATCRTCATCAAATCACARAGTGKTTTGATTTAGAAGGAACCTTAAATATCAACTCATTCCTATGCCTTGCCATGGACAAGGACACCTTCCACTATCCCAGGTTGCTCCAAGCCCCATCCAACCAGGCCTTGGAYACTGCCAGGGAAGGGRCACCTAAAAGGAAGAAGATTGTTTTTGGATGAAGCACATGGAAAGAAGTAGAAAAAACTTATTTATCTGTGTATTCTAGGTCAGTCACACAAAAACAAGTTAGGCAAGGAAAACAAACAATCAAAAACCTGCAAAATGTAATTTTGTTTTATTTCTTTTCATGCAAATAAACTTTTCTAGAAAGAGAACACGTTAGCCTGAAAACCCAACTGAAAAATTGGGCACCTTCAGAGGAAGAGTCATGGGAAGGCTGAGGCTACAAAACATTCCTTACACAGAAACACATCCAAACTAGTCAGGTCATCAGGAATTAACGGGATCACAGGCTCCAAACTGTAAGAATGGCAAAAATGTATCATAATAATAAAAGGTAGGGTAGCTTTTTAAAATCAGATTCATTAATAGTGAACCATATTAGCTGGAGAACGATGGTAGGCAAATTCAAAGAAATAAAAAATGCAAAATTTTAACAAGAATGAAAAAAGTCCCATTGAAACCATCAGTTCTACAAAGGTAACAGATCCTCTACCAACTGCAATCTTCAYGAGCAGCTTGGATCCACTCAGAGGATTTTTTTTTTTGGCAACATGGTCTAGTGGAAGGTGTCTCTGCCCAKRGCAGRRGGGTTGGAATGAGAYCATCTTTAAGGTCYCTTCCAACTCAAACCATTCCATGATTGCAGTGGCAGACAGATRGTAGATCATCACAGAGGACACCAGCTACTGGTGAAAGGAACAGTGATTCCTCACTGAAGCAGCAAAAATATTTCAAGTTTTGGGCTCTTTCATTAAAACAGGAGCCTCCAGGTGCAGGACATGGACAGGCACAAGAGCTTTGCTGTGACTGTAGCTTGTTTGTAGCATTAAGGATGAAGTTAGCGTKGAGGTGAAATACTTGGAAAGATCCTGAGCATCACAGAGGACAATGGGGACAAACTTACCTGTGCTCCTCCGTGGCAGCTCCAGGCTGTGAAGTTGTTGAACTGAACAYGACTGTCTGGCAAATACTCTGGGTACACCAGCAAACCATACCTGTTCAGGAAAGAAAACCATGGAGTCTGATCCTTTACAGTGCATATGCTGGTGAGCAAATTGTTCTATTCATCACCTTGGTGTCTAAAATCTYAAATCTGTAACAGTTGTCTGCATGAGAATTTATTTCTGAAAACCAAAGTCAAAAACTGATGGATGATTTTAGGCATCTAATAAAGACTTCCTTTTGAGTATTTTCAGTGTCAGCCCTATCAGGGCTACAAAGGAGTGTGCAGTGCCACTGAGAGGTTCTCACTGCAGAACACCCTCCCACGCTCAGGAGTTTTCACTCAACATCACCTTCAGATAAGCCTGACATGAAACTGGAGAGATAAGAATTTTCTTTATCTTGGATTCAGCCAGCTTGGAGTACAGCCCAAATGTATTAATTCCTGAATGCAGCACTTGGTTTGACCTTCTCAGAGATTTTAAATCTAGATGAATATCTAGATTAACTCAAAATTCAGGTCACTCCATCTACTGATTTTCAGTACAATGTAATTTTTTAATACTCCTTCTGTTTTAGTGCGTACTGATTAAAGCTTTTGTCTGTAGCTGTTTCTGGATACTGCAGGAGCAATTGTTTCACGAAATGTCCCAGAACCATGGAATCATGGAATGGTTTGGATTGGAAGGGACCTTAGAGATCATCTCTTTCTATCCCCCTGCCATGGACAGGGACACCTTCGACACCAATTCTGTTCCTGCTTCCAAGAGAGGAGGACCTGAGAGGACACAAAACTGGGGGAAAAAATCCTGAAAAGAGGGGCAAAGCCTTTCATGTCCATCACTGCAATTATGGTTGGCACAACCATTCGCTGAAGGAAAATCTTTTTAAACAAATCTCCCCAAGTACCTGGTGCAGGAGTGAGCTTTGTTCTTGCTGAAGGAGAGGAGAGGCACTTTGGATGATCCCTCAGGGGAGAGATGAAAGAAATAGCCATACCCAGCACCACACACCGTGTTACCCTGCAGAGAGGAATATATGACTGTGAAAAAAAAATGCCACAGATTTCTGGAAATTCAAATCAATTTAAGAAACATGTAAATTAAAATCTCAGCAGAAGTCCATTCAGATTCTTGCAAACTGGTTGGTAGAGACTGGTACCTCATTTCTGTGTCCCCAATCTTGTCCTGTTTTCAGTTTGAGTTTGGGCCAGTCTTAAAAACACCTGGTTTTAAGCCAGACAAGAAGGGTTGGCCAAGCAAAAGAGAAAAATTACAGAAAAATGGTGCTGTCACAATTCTTCAAGAAGTAGGTAAGAAAAAAAYGTGTGGAAAACTTACATSTATAAACTCTTTCTATATAAGGAARAAATTTCAGGAAGGAAAGGTAAATCACAAACGGATCAGTTTATTGGTTTCCTTCTCAATCTGGATTTTTTTATTATGTCCCAAAGTAAACTGAGCATAAGGAAATATTCTTATTGAAAAAGTGAGACTCCTAAAAGTCAAGAGCAAGCAGAGAACAATATCTTGAGGATTTTCCAGTGACTGAACAAATAAACTTTCTTACACCTGTGATAAATTATGTGGTTTGTATTATTTTAAACAGGTTAAGTGAATAACTGTGGGGAAATGTGCTTTAAGTTTTTGTCATTTAATAAGGAAATTTCATTATAAATTCTACATTTGTGTTATTTTCTCTGTGTTGCAAGAGGTGAAAATAAGCAGACATAAGGTCTGACTGGACATAAAATTAGGAGTTTGGTGCTTACATAATCTGCAGAAATATAAGTTACATTCAGTGAGTTCTGAACATTTCTACTCTAGGACAAAAATCTGCCCTTGACAGCTTAATCTGGAGATCAGCCAAGCATAGCTGGGTTTGGGTSGTGTCCATATAGCCATGTTTTCATGTGTGCATGATCCCTCTCACCTGCTTGGATGTGTGAAAATTTGAAGTTTGGGCCACAAAACTTAGGCTCCATTTCTAGGAAAAAAAAATCTTAGGTGTATGCCTGTCCAGAAGGCGATGCTTTTGGTCTATCCTTAGACAAAATTAATTGCTCTCTGGAGGCATCTGACTCTCTAAGGGGGGGTCTAAGATGACCTTTCTTGCAGCTCTAAGGAGGGTTTGTTCTTAAGATCAGGTCTGACACCACCACTCCCATTCATAGGTCACCGGACTGAGTTAAAATAGTAATGACTTTTTGGTCCCTGATGGTCCAAATCAAAGCTGAGCCTRGTGACCTCGAGGTGAAACCTTCCATACACCAATTACTTTCTTCTGACCCATCCAAGTGTGCTCCCTGCAGTCCTGATCTCTGACATCTGTCAAGGCACAAAGTACTGAGGCCCAAAGCTCTGCTTTTCTCTATCCCCTGGTAAAACTGCTGCTTTTTCTGAAAGCACAGCCACAGAACCCTTTTTCTTWAACAAAACACTTCTGCAGTCCAGTCACATCATTTCCAGGACATTTTACTTGCGACTCCAATCGTGCATTCCACAGATGATTCATAAGGAAAAAAAAAAAAAAACTGCATATTTATTCAGCCAGCTCGTGGCTGGAGGGCAGGGGTTTTAGGCAAGCAGGGAATTTTGTGTGGAAATCAATTCTTTGTGGAAGTCAGTATATTACGAATGTCCGTGCAACCAAAATTCCAGAGAGAAATTACCTCCCTGAGCATGCCAAATACCTGGAGGTAAGCGCTGCGAGTCAGTAAAATCAAGTGGCTGACGGTTTAAGTGTCTCTTAACCGTGCAACTCTGCCAGTGTAAATATTTCATGAATTTCTTTCAGATAGCTGGGACTCCAAGTGTTGACCTTAAAGATGACATTAAAGCTCTGGACAGCGTTCCCAGCACTGCTTCCACAGTTTCAGAGTCTGGCAGGGTGTGAGTGGTACCCACAATGTGCCTGCTTCAGTTTGGGCGCGTTTTGTAGGAAAGTGTTTGGAAAAGATCTCTGCAGAGATGAAACTATGGGAAAATGGTGCCAAAAGGATGCAGCCTCATCTCTTTGGGACTGTGGGGAAGGCCACACTGGGAAATAAATGCAATTACCAGCAGTGTGACATCGGTCACTGCTCTGACATGGAGACACCGGCTGAGCTCCACCCCGTTCATTCATCTGAGCTGTTTCCCGATCCTCAACACCAMGGCAAGAAAGGAAAGGGAGGTTCCTGCTGGATTTCCTAAACCCAGTCCATATGTTGCCATGCATAAGCACCACATGCTGGCTCTGGGATTTCAGGGCATTGAATGCTTATGGA